AACCTTTGCACAAAATATCTTCAATTAGACGAAAGAAATTTCACTGTTGGGATTATCGTAGGATAGTCGCAGAAAGATCAAATGTTTCTCATTTATCTGAATATGAATTCACTCTAACATGAATACTGTATTAAATTATGTATGTATATATACATGTGTAATTATGGGAGGCAAGACCGAAAGTGATACCTCAGGAATGCCTCCCACATGGTTGAGAGGAGTATCCCAATTGGGTGGAGTGGATCTCTGCAGCTGCCCATGCCAGAGGGGAATCTGCTCTCACCTTTGCAAGTTCGGATCTGATGATTTCGGCTGTGAGAGAAGGGTTGAGGTTGAGGCTGAAATGGGAGTCATACTCCTGCGACTGCCCCTACTCCCCAGGAAAAAGTGCAGCAAAGCACATCCAGGAGTTTTAGTTGGGTAGTGACTTCGTCTGAGTCCCCCAACATTATTCCTGCTACCGGGTGGGGAGAGGTTAGTGCGAAATGCTTCATTTCTCCTGGGTTAACAAAAAAAAATTTCAAACGTTAAATAATAATAATAATAATAATTTATTTTTTTTTTATTAGAATCTATAAAATTTATAGCAATTAAAAATATTATTTTTTGTGTCAATAATAATAAAAATAATAATAATTATTCTGAATGTCTCTAATTCCTCTGTCCAGACAGCTTAATATCAAGGATCAAGGACATGAGTTGGTACCGGGAGGCAGGAAAATCACCCATATGCTGTATATGGATGACTTAAAAATTTATGCAAAAAATGAAGAGGAGTTAAATAAAATGCTTAAGACGATACAAACTTTTTCCTCCGACATCAACATGAAATTTGGTCTAGAAAAATGTGCAAAAGTTAATACTGTCAGTGGAAAGTTAAAACAAAAGGAAAATATAGAAGACTCAGAAGAAGAACTTATTAAAGAACTGGACCCTGGATCAACATACAAATATCTGGGGATTGAAGAAAATTTTGGGGTAGCCAACAAAGAAATTAAACCTCAATTAAAGAAAGAATATTTTAAAAGATTGAGGCTTATATTACAGTCGGAACTGAGTGGAAGAAATAAGTTACCATAACACCATCGGCACACTAGCAGTTCCAGTAATAGAATACAGTTTTGGCCTTGTCGAATGGACAAAAGGAGAAATCATGCACCTGGACCGAAGAACAAGGAAAATATTAACTATGAATGGTGCATTACATCCAAAAGCTGATGTGGATAGATTATATGTCAGCAGGAAAGATGGAGGAAGAGGATTACGACAAATAGAAGCGGCATACCAGAATGCCATAATTGGAAAAGGGAAAATACATAGAATCCCATCAAGAGGACCCTATCTTAGCCCAAGTTATACATATATTACAATAAAAATTACAAAAAAAGGAGTACTGAAAAGGGCAAAACAAATCGTCCAAGAAAATAAAGAAAACGAGATAATGGAAGAAGGGCAACTTTCAACTTATGAAAGCAAAGCCCAATCTCAGAAGAAATTATGTCAATATCTCCATTGGAGTATATGCCGAGAATATGGAATGGATGGATTACCCAAGGAGTGGTAAAACCTTATTCCAAGCCCGGTGGACAGTAGGTCCATGCAGAGTTCTGTACGATCAACAAATCCACACTGACAGAACTGTGCCAGCTAACAAACCGAATATCATTCTCAGACATAATGCGAAAAAATGGTGTAAGTTAATTGAAGTATTCGAAGAACCGAAGAGGAGAAAAACACCACAGCCAAAGAAGCAGACAAAAGGCTGAAATATAGAAATTTGGAAGATGTAACGTTCACAGGACATTAGGGAATCAGAAGAACTTCTCCCGTTGTGTCTTGCTTCCTTTTATATGTGGAACTCATTGTTATTATTATGTTTCTATGAAACGAATAACTATGGTTGTAAACAAATAGAAGAATAAGTTTCTAGAAGCTTCTTTTTCATAATAAACACTTGGTAACCATAGTTCTAATGTTATTATTTATAAATAAAATAAAATTATGAACATTTGCTCTCGTGATCACAACAATATATATTCTTAGTCTTATTAAATATTTACAAAAAATAATTTTGCTTTAAAGTATAGTTATTTTATAATTTAAATTTTATTCCTTTTAATACATAAGTTAAACATGAAAAATATGTGATTTTTTTTTCTGACCAATCACGAGTAAGAATGGCGTGCGCCATTATTTTCTCATTATGTATACAAAGCACGCCATTGGTTAAAAATTGTATTGAAAATTGCATATACTCTAAATGCAAGGCGTTGAAGCGAAACGAAACTATCGAAAAATTGAGACCTCCTGAATATTATGTTTTACTGATACTCGAAGCCAATTTTTCACTCATTTTTCTTGATTTTTTTTCGTCCGCCTTACTTTTTTGAGTTATGCAATTTGTCGTGTTTTCACGTATTGCCAGTTGCATAACCAAAATTTTTAAGGATTTTTGAATTTTTTCGATTTTTTCCGTCCGCCTTACTTTTTTGAGTTATGCAATTTGTCGGGTTTCGCGTACTGCCAGTTGCATAACCCAAATTTGTATAAAAATTTCTTTTAAGTTTTTTTTTTATGGGAATAAATGAATGATATAACCAAACATGCATGGTGGGAAAAAAAAAAAACAAATTTTATTTTTTTTTTAAATAATATATTTGAGAGAATAAATACATATATTACTATATTATTATTATTATTATTATTATTATTATTATTATTATTATTATTATCCACCATTAAACACGACAAGGCTACTTGTCGGGGTTTTTAAGTATTTATCCGAGGTTTCTACCCGATTCCTTAGGGACAAATACTCGAATTTCGGTGGTGCCACTTATTATAAGATAGCACCACATCAATTCTTGAAGGTCTTCCTGAGTCCATCTTTATTCGATGGGAACGATTTGTCTCCTGAACTGGGCTCCGGTGACTAACATCTTTGGAGTGGCCAGGGTCAGAAGCAGTGAAATTCACATTCTCGTCGAGCTGCCTCAGGTCGACCGTAGAACAAGATTTTGTTTTTGGTTCTTACTTTGTCTTGTTCTCATTTTTTTTTTTTTTTTTTTTTTTTTTGCTCTTTTTTTTAAGCCAACAGCACGTGGCGTTCTCAAACGGTCACCCATCCAAGTTTGCACCACGCCCGATGCTGCTTAACTTCGGTGATCGTACGGGAACCGGTGTGACTAGCACGGTATGGCCGTTGACTTATTATTATTATTATTATTATTATTATTATTATTATGTTCACCATTAAACACGACAAGGGTCTTATTTGTCGGGGTTTTTAAGCATTTATCCCAGGTTTCTACCCGATTCCTTAGGGACAAATACTCGAATATCGGTGGTGCTATTTATAATATTTTCCGAAGAATGTGGGCCGTCCCATATAGTGCGATTTCCTGGATGATTTCTTCTTCTTTTAGGTTCTTCATAATCTTCTTTAAATTTCCTTTTATTGAATGTGGCATGGCTCCCAATGCTCCCACAATTGACCGGAATCGTTTCAGTTTTTGTTCCCCACATCCTGGCTATTTCAATTTCCAAATTTCTATATTTCAGCCTTTTGTCTGCTTCTTTGGCTGTCTGGTGTTTTTTTCTGCCGGCACGGATACCTCAATTAATTTACACCATTTTTCCCCATTATGCCTGAGTATGATATCCGGTTTGTTAGCTGGCACAGTTCTATCAGTGTGGATTTGTTGATCATATAGAACTGTGCATGAACCTACTGTCGTAACCGGTCTTGGAATGTGGCCGTACCACTCCTTGGGTAATCCATCCATTCCATATTCCCGGCAGATATTCCAGTGAAGATTGTGCCTCTCCAAATATTCATGTTTTGCCAATATCGTACAACCTGAAATTAAATGATCGATGGTTTCCGATATATATTATTATTATTATTATAAGGAGTTTATTCCATTGATTTAAAATAAAAATTCCATTAATCCGGTTTTTTTTCTATTCTCCCCACCATTATTTTTTTTTATTTTTAAATTTGGTCGTTATTAATAATTTGATTTTTTGTTTCACAATTGAAAACTAGTTTTCAAGGTATCTTTAACAGGTATAAATTTTTTTTGTAATTTGACCTTGCAATTTTTTTTTTGTTTTCTTTCTTTCTAATTGAAAAACGTTGATTCAGTTGATTCGGTTAAATTTTAAATTATATTAATGACGATAATAATAATAATATTTTTAAAAAAATTAACCGCGATGAAATCAAATCTAAAAAAAAAAAAAAATGTTTAAGTTATCGTTATTAATTCCATCAAAATTTAATTAAAGGTATAATTTATAAATATGAACTTTGAACCTTTGTTAATAATGATACGCACGTATTTATTTTTTTTTAAGATAACATAAAACTGCGCAAGAACAACAACGTAAATAATAAAAGTCATATATCTGAGTTTAATATCAGATAATTATTGAATCATTTCGTGTTTGTACAAATTTTTACGACAACAACAACAACAACCAAAAAGACACAAAATGGATGAAAATATTTTAACAGGACCGGAATTAGATGATAATAATTTTAAAGAGAAAACCGTTACCGAATATTTATTCAATTCATTAAAATCACATCCGAAAGATTCAATTATTCAGGTAAGTTAAACAATAAATTTTATTATTATTATTATCGCAGTGAATAATATGTAAAAAAAATTGAATTTAGATCGATGCGAGTACGGGTGAAAAAATAACGTGTTGGAATTATTTGAAAAAATGTTTACAATTCGGAGAAGGTTTGGTGAAAAATATGGGAGTTAAAAATGGCGACGTTGTTTGTTTGGCTTGTCAAAATAGCATAAATAGTATTATTGCTTCCGTTGGTACATTTTTTTCGGGGGGCATAGCAGCACCCATTGATCATAATTCCAAACCGGGTAAGTTTGTTTTTAATTGATTCAAACGATAGTGATGATGATGTTGATGATGATGATGATGGTGTCGATGGTGATGATGGTGATGATGATGATGATGATGACCATAAAATTTTCCATTTCAGTCGAAATGCAATATTTACTCAACCTTTTAAAACCAAAATACATAATTTGCGAAAATGAAAAAGCTCAAGAGATAAACAACAATTTAAAACAAATCAATTTGGATTGTAAAATAATCGTCTTAGACACAAAAGTAAGAAAAATTTTTTTTTACAAAATTTTATCCAGAGGTGGAATTAAGCTCGTGACGTCACAAAAAAACGTTATGATTTTTTTAGGTATCGGATTCGAATTTTTATTCTATGAAAGACGTGTCAATTGAAAATGTCGATGTCGATTCATACGTACCTAGAAAAGTCGGCGATAATAAAAAAGATATTTTTGTCATTTGTTGTTCCAGCGGATCAACTGGATATCCAAAAGGTGTCGCATTATCCCATCATTCTCTTTTGTATAACGTGCAAACTTTAAAGCAAGTATTCCATCATCCATTCCCTCCGTTTTTTGTCTTTTTCCTTAAATTTTTCTTTTCTTTTTCTTCTCCAGGAAATTCGGATCACAATTTTTATCAAAAAAATTATTATTCACATCTCCGTTATTTTGGATATCAAATTTCATTTTAACGATAATGTCTTGCGTTTTTGGACAAACTAGAATAGTTCCAAAATCTACAAATACAATACATTATTTGGAAAGCATTGAAAAATATCAGGTTCGTTTTTTCCAGTTTATACAGTTAAAAAAATAAAATTTTATTTACTTTTTTTTTCGTTCCAGCCTGAATTCACGGCTTTTTCACCGTCTTCCCTATTATTTTTAGTAGATCATCCAGATTTTGATAAATTCAATTTGAAAAGTTTAAAATTAATTTTTGTCGGTGGTTCTCTTTTGGGATCGAATTTACTTGATAAAATTAAGGTATTTTCGGTTTGCATCGTCATCTCATCCTGAAACGAATAAATTTTAATTATTTTAAATATGATTTTAGTCAAAGTGGAAAAATGTTCACATACTCCAGGGTTACGGTATGACAGAATTTGGTGGAGGAATCACAAGTCCAAATTTTGGAAACGCCACGTCTTCCGTTGGAGAAGTTTTACCCAATACTTCAATAAAAGTAATTCTGTGAAACATTTCCTGTTTCCTGTTGATCATAAACTCACAATTTGGAAAACCTCTTTCAGATTGTGGATCCATCATCGGGTAAAATTCTCGGTCCGAATGAAATCGGAGAATGTAGAGTTAAAGCCGACAGAGTTATGATTGGATATTACAACAATGAAAAAGCAACCAAAGAATCTTTCGACGATGATGGTTGGTTTAAAACTGGAGATTTGATGTATTACGATGATAATAAATTGTTATACGTTGTCGGAAGAATCAAAGAAACCGTTAAATATCAAAATTATCAAGTAATAAAACATTTCGTGTCAAACTTCTTCTTTTTGTCTCTCTCCTAAAAGAAAAGAAATTAATATTATTATTATTATTTTCAGATATCTTTAGCGGAAATAGAAAATTTTATAATATCTTTACCGGGAGTAAAAGATGCTGCGATAGTACCCATTCCTCATGGACCAAATCATCATTTAAAAGCGGTTGTTGTTAAAAGTTCAGGTTCTAATATATCTGAAAATGACGTCATCGAAGCTGTAAAAAGTAAATTTTTTTATTCAGTCATAATCTGTTGAGCGGTGTCACGATGATAATAATAATATTGTTTTCCAGATAATTTTTCTGAATACAAACATTTAAGAGAAGGCGTTGAATTTTCCGATTCTCTTCCAAGAACGGAAACAGGAAAATTAAGACGTTGGCAACTTTTGAAGTCACATGATCCTAATCTATCTAAAACTAATTAAAAATATATATACATATAATGATTTAAAAAATAAAAAGAAAATATGCTTTTCCAGACGTTTATCTGAACGTTTAAAATTTTCCTAAAATAAATATCAAAAATCAATAAAAAATTATTAAACTGTTTAATAAGATTTATTTTTAAAAAAATTATTTTAATATCATGCGACATTAAACGATTTATACTTATGTTTATAACACGAAAAGTTTACAATGAAGGACTCAAAAATTGAAAAATGGCCTCCATTCAAAAATACGTTCAACATCGCATTTCTAAGCCATACAATCACGTGTTCTGCAACTTATATTTTATTATCATTTTTTTCAACGTCGGATGATTTTTCAGGTGACGAGGGCGAAGTCAAATTTTTTATTTGAGTCGATGATTCAATACTTAAAGTTCCTTCATCTTTATGCTCGATGATGGGCTCTAACTCGTGCATCAACGATCTTCTTCCTAAATCTATATCATCGGAACACGGTGAAACATGAGCATGAGATACAGCTGGCACGGGTATTGCGGCACTTGGCATCGTGGGATCTGGAGTTATGAGTCCAAGTTCTTCTTTTTCTGACGAAGAACTCGATTCGTCAACAAAATTACAACTATATATTATCATTGGTTCTAATTTGGAATCGTTCACTTTGATATTTGATTCGTCGCTGTTGTCAACTTTGGATAATGAGTCTTTCGTAGACGGCGGCAAACCTTTTATTATTTTTTCAATTTCGTTATTTTTAATATCTTTGTCAACGTAAGAAACAAAATTGGCCGTTATTGTAGCTGGTTGTAAGGGAGTTATCGCATTAACCGGAAGTGATGATGGTAATAATGCAGTCATCGGTTTACCACTATCAAAAACGGAAGATTCGGAATTTATCGATGTCCCTGGATCATTTAAAAAATTAAAATTTTTAACTTCGGACAATATTTTAACGGATTCCATTTCCGATGAATCTGCAGGTGGCATTATCGTTTTTAAATTCGTACATAAATCCGAAGATTGATAATATTGTTGATTTATGTCTTTTTCGGACGTTACTTTAACATCAAAACGATTAAATTTTGAATTGGGTTCTTTTACTACCGATGCCACTTTGACTGACGGTACAAAAGCAGTCGAATTTTCCGGTGCGAAAATATGAGGTACCGGTGAGCCATTTTGTACGATAACTTTAGCAGAATGAGTTTCTCCCGTTAACACATGACTTGGAGATATTTCTTTTCTGAAGAAAAATTTTATTGGGTTAATAAAATGGTTGATTTAATGCCCCGCATACCTTATGTTTAATAATTTTTTTTTTCTTACTTATCGAAAGCTTGTGGAATGATACCAATTGCAATCTTTGCTTCTTTTTTTTTATGATAATCCACGAATCGTGACGGATCGGCATCTAGTATGGTATCACCAGGTTGTTTGGCAAAAGGATCGTTTTTGCAAATGTTTGACAAAACGTAAGACGGACTGTGATGTGGAACCGTTGATTTGTTATCGGATTCGTTTGGCAAACTGACTTCCTTGTTAGAAATATCCAAATCGGACATGGCGAATATCTCAAGTTGAAATTCGTTACAAGGTACACTTTCCCTGACAAAAGAAGACCGACTTTGACCCATTGAATGTGATGTAGAACTCAGCCTTGAAGTACTCTTGTTTCCTCTTCTACTTCTTAAAGATGCCGAGCTTCCCAAATGAATCACCTAATCGAATTATTTTTAAATATTTAAAAAGTCAAAGTTCACGTTGATAATATAAAAGCATACCTCTTCTTTGGAGCTGCGTTTTTGGTGAAAAATTTTACTCAGAAGATTAAGAACGGAACTTTTTCCTTTACTGGACATCGTAGACGGCTCCGATCCAGAATTATTTTCTCTACTGGGACGAAGTGAGAGTCTTTGAATTTTCATCGGATGTGTTTCTCCTCTTTGAACACTTGGATGCTCTGATGAAATCTAAAAAAGCAAATAATACTTTTTAAAAAAAAAATTTTTAATTTAAAAGAAAAGAGAAAAATGTTTTTTTACATACAATTTCTTCGATGTTCATTTTAGATCCTTCTTTTTCTTCTAAAACCGTATCCAAGGGCATAAATTCAGCTTGATGCGAAGGAACTTCAACTTCTTCAGCGGAATGTTGAGGTGGACCTGTATGGTACTGTTTAGCGGCTGCTGTATAAGGTAACTCAACTGGAAAAACTTCATCCCAATATTGATCTTTCAACATTTCCGGATGCTCCTGATGCATTTCATCAACTATGACGTAGGATATCTGTAAAATTTCAATAATAAATTATCCAATCATTAATTTTTATATCAAACAAAACGTTTAATTAAATTAATACGTACTTGTAAATTTCTATCTAGTAACCAATTTAATTCAAAATCGTCGTCATCTTCTCCGAAAGGATTTACTAAAGATTCAGCAACTTTAAGCCACCCCATGTAAAAAAAAAACTACAAAAAAAAAAAAACGATAAGTAATTAATAATGTAAAACTTTTTTGTGAATCTCTTGTTAAAAAATTCTGACCTGAAGAAAAGTGAAAACTGGTAGAAATAAATCGATTTGATGTTTTGCATATCCTTTACTCGGATCCAAATATTGATTACCCATCAGGGTTGATAGGAAAAAGACGTACACCGCCAATGTCACTACCTGCAACCACCCACCTAATGACAAAATCAGTTAATCTCAAAATTTAAAACACAAATTAAAGTAAAAATTTCAGTTTTTATGCCGAAGGAAAAAAAAAAAAAAGAAAAATCACTCAAAATCTTGAAAAACTCATTTGGGTACTCACTTGGGTATAAACCAACGGAATACTAATCCAATCATAATTTAACATTCCACCACAACCACCTCTGAATATATTTAATTCATCAATGAGAGTCTTCAATGCAAAATCATCTTTAACTCTATTTTCCTTTCTTGCTCTTGTCACGATTCCTCCGGCCCACACCAAAGGCATCCAGTACCTGAAAATAAACGTACCTAAGATTAAAAATAATTCAATTAAGCAAAATTATATCAAAATTAATTACTTGGTGTGAGGGGTTTTGTGTTCTAAATCCTCAAAAATTTTTTTTTCACCAGGTAACATCCATCCAGCTTCAACAACGTGTTCAAGCGTGGGAAATCTTTTTTTAACACGTGGACTTATCATTCTTAAAGTGAGTAATAGACTTAAGTTAACGTAACGCATAATAGTTCTTCGCATAATTCTTCCGCGATCATCCTAAAAAAATTGAAAAAGTCACGATGAGAAAAACAAAATGCAAACAAAAAAAAAGATAAAATTTAAAACTTTTACCTGTCCATGAACCAAAGAACTGACAAAAAGAGCTAAATTATCCGGCCATGGTAAACATAAATACTGATCCCACCATCTTTTTATCACGAGGGATACATAAAAGCCGAGAACGAAAGAAACTGGTATTAAATCGCCATAAACTTGACAATGAAGCGACATTTTTTCAAAAAGCCTAAAATTAATAAAATATTAAATTAAAATTTTTTTTTTACAACCCTAAAACCTTAAAACACAATTCGATACATATATATATATAATAACTTACTTACGTTCTTTGTTCACTGTTTAAAAGAAATCTATATGTTCCACTCAAACTAAAATACAATATGGAGTAGACAACTAAATTTGGCCATAATAGTTTGTAAATGCTTCCTCTCCACCTACACCAATACAAAAATTATAAATTAACAAATGATTTCATTAAATGAAGGAAAAGAAATGGTTAATAATTACCTAAATAATAATTTCCAAAAACATCCGAATCCCGTGCAAGTAGCTACTTCTCCAGTATAAGTAACAGTCATGTTACGTGCATTTTGACAACCATTTATTATTATTACAAACTTATTATATACTTTTATAGTTTTACAATTATATATATATATATTTAGTTACTCAACTACCGCCATTTGTTTACAATTATATAAAATACGTTAAACATAATTATTAAACAACATAAAACGATTATATCTGGAAAAAGAAAGAAAAAAATTACATTAATTTTTAAACAAAGCAAAGAAGTTAAAGTCAAATTAAAAAAACAAAAAACAAACATAAATTTTTTTTTTTTATAAAAATAAATGAATTATTATTTACAATATATAATTCTTTTTCATTTCAATATTAATCCACGAAAAGATTTTTCTCGAATAAATAAATAAAAAACTTTAGATGTTTAAATTAATTTACTTTTTTTTATAGAAATATTTTTCAAAAAAAAATTTTTCTATAAGCCGTTACGTAAATATGAATTCACCGCCTTCTTCGAGTAAATTTTTTTTCGTTACGTAATAAAACGGAAATGGAAAACATGCAACATGTTCCTTACAAAGTAAATAACCGTTTTATTTACATTCGAAAAAATAACCGAAATCGAAACATTTTACAAAACGAAAAAACAAACACTTTTTTATTAAATTTTTTTTAAAAAACGATTTTATTGGCTAAAATATGACAAAATAATAATAATAATAATAATAATAATAATATGACAATGTTCACAATATACAAAAATTTGATTGATAAATAATATTAATAATAATAATAATAAATTTTTTTTTTTTTTTAAAATTAATTTAATTCGACAAAACTATTTTTTTTTTTTTAATAGCTCAATGAAAGCTATTATTATTTAATTATTATTATTATTATTTTTTTTAATAATATATATGAACTTAAATAACAACCAATTTAATATTTTCTTTTTTTGGGGGGGGAGAGGGAGGAGGAAGAGGGGAAAGGGGAGGGAGGGACAGTCAAAATCTGATTCGAATTTTAAAAAATATATATATATATATATATACATATATATATTTTTTTTACATTATTAATTTATTATTATTAATATTAATTAAATTTAGTGCAATTAATTATCACAAATATTTATATAAATATATGTGATAAAATATTTATTATTATTATTATTTTTTTTAAAACAAAGTTAAAAATTTTTGAATCGAATTAAAAAAAAAAAAATGGGGGGAAAATATTCTTAAAATTCTACGATTGTTTTTCATTTTCCTTTTTTTTTCTTCATGTAAATATTTTTTTTTCCTTCAAAAAATATGATTATTATTATTATTAATTTTTTTTTTATTTAAACACCTAAAATTAAATAAACTGTTAGATTTTATGATATTTAATATTAAAAAAAAAAAGGCTTAAAAAGGCTGTTTTTTTTTTTTTTTTTTTTTTTCAAAATAAATCAATAAATTTTTAATTACATTTAAATAACTTTGTTAAAAAATAATAATAATAATAAGAAAAACTAAATAGTTTTGTTATAATTAAAAAAAAAAATTACATTTAAATACATAATAAATTTATAAATAATTCTTTTGGTTTGACATGTTCAAAAGAACCACCTTATTATTATTATTATTATTATTATTATTATTAATTCTATGCAATTCATTTTTATGTGTGATAAAAAAAAAACAATTTTTTTTTTTTAGGAAGAGATATGTACCTACAACTCATTTATTTATTTATTTTTTATTTATTTCAAACTTCCTTAACTCAGATAAAAATATTTTTTTTTACAAAAAAATTTTTTTAAATTTCCTTTCATTTGAGTTTTAGGCATTCGATAACAAAATTGCACTTGAATTGCTTTCAGTTTTTTTTTTTTTTTTTTTTTTTTTATTTATGATACAGAGATAGGAACCCAAAAAAAAAAAAAATTACTTATTAATAATAATAATAATAATAATAAATAAATAAAAAAATGATTCATGGCACAAAATTTTTTTTTTTTTCTTTTTCTTACATAGTCTTAACTATGGTACCTTAAAATATATTAATTAATTTTTGGTACAATTTTTTTTTTTAAGTCAAAATTGTAATTGTTTTTGATTTAGGAAGTTTGTTTGTTTGTTTGTTTGTTTGTCGAATCATCATCATCAAAACAACCAAACGTAAAAAAGGATTACATAAGAAAAAAAAAAAATGAGTGACTGTCCATACAAAAAAAACATTAAAAATAATATAAATAATAAATAAACTTTAGAGCTTTTGTCAAATTACAACTAAATTGAACTTACTCAATTATGTTTAACTTATAATTTAAATAATAATTTTAAAATAAAAAAGTAATTTTTTTAAATCAAATATATATATATATATATAATAATATTAATTTAATAAACCAAGAAGACGTGGTAAGTTAGTTTTTTTTCTTTAATATATAAAAAAATACGTAAATTAATAAATTTGTCACGTGATAAAAGTCACTTAATTAAATTATATTATATAATATTATATACTAATACAAATAATAATAAAAAAAAACGAAAACATAATATAACAAAAAAAATTTTCCGTTTCGTTTTTAAAATGGTGCAATTTTCTTATTTCAATTAACCATATATATATATATTAATATATATTTAAAAATAATATATGAGGTAATATTGGCAATAATATAAATATTATTAACGATAATTATTAAAAAAACAAAAATTAAAAAAAAAAATTTAAAAACAATTTACATTTAATTTCAAAGTTTCTTTTGTTTAAATTTAAATTTACCCACTAAAATTATTAAATTATAAAAAAATTATTATTATTATTATTATTATTTATTTTATTATTAAACACAAAGAATACAAAATTTTTTATGTTAAAAAAAAAAATTTAAATAATAATAATAATATTAATAATAATTAAAAAAAAAA